AATTTATTAGTGGACATATAGTAGTCAGGCCACGCCAAAAAAGATAGGGAGTAAAAAATGGGGTCTGTACTCTTCAATAATACCTGTTTAAATAAACGTTTGCCCTTTTCTTAAGTTTTAGAAAATATTTAACAAAAATACCCTATAAATGTAAGCATTGCACTATGCATTTAAGCAAAAGGCACGGGATTATAATGAGTAGCAAGCACAGCAAGAATTAAACACATTTTATTAACAAAAAATCAAATTTTCAAAAAAACCCGAAAAACAAAAAACTCTAACTAAACAAAAATTTCAAAAAAATTCTCTAAAATTATTTTAAATTTCTTTAACCTTCTTTTTCTGAATGGCGCACACTTCGAGTTAATTCATTATGAAGACCCTTTAAAAATAGTTAAAAATCATTTATATAAATATATTTTTATTAATATCCCCTTAATAAAATTTCTAGAAATTTCAAAAACTCCCCAGTTATCCCAACTACTAAAACTATTTTTGATGAGTATAAGATAGAATTATTCATTTACCTCCTTCCATTTTGCAAAATAAATTCTACTAAAATTATTGGAATTGAATTCTTCATCATCTTCATCCTCATCAGATTTCTTCCGGTTATGGCGGACTAAGAAGTAGCCAATTATAGAGCCAACACAAATACCCCTGAAGGAAAGAAAAAGATTTTCTCGGAAATTTTTAAAATTTCAACTTACAAGAGAACCAATATTCCAACAATAATTATTGGGGAGATTGACTCCTCTTTGCCTGATTCGTTGTCGTTGGAAGCAGCAATTTGAATAAAGCAAATTGATAGAAGATAATTAACAAAAAGAATATGTCCAACAAACATTTTTAGATATTTTGGGGTTTGAATTGGGAAGAGACTTTAAAACTACGGGGTTTTAAATTAAAAAATACTTGAAATAAAAGTATATAAAAATATACAGGCTAATTTAAAACCATGAAAAAAGAATTACAATATTATTTAATTAAACACCTATACAATAATTATATTTATTTAAAAATTTTATTTTCTTAATGTTCCTATTTCTTTATACTTCAGTACCAAGCTCATGCTGGTAAGCATCGAATTCAGCCTCGTTTTCTGTCACCACAGTGCAAAGATCATCGTTTTTGACTGAAGCAGTTTCAGGCTCACAAGATTGGGTGTTTAACACAAAACGAATAATTCCACTCTTTTCACTTGAAAAATAAAAAAATTTTTTCTGAATTAGATTAAAAAATTTTTTCCTCTAAGGCAGTTCAGGCACCTACTGAACGTGGTGACAACAACAATGACTGACAGGAGTTTACTAGTCCAATCTCTCCCGGTGGATAAACGCTTGCCTACAACTCTTAACCCACATTTTTGTTGAAAGTGTAAATTTATCAAAAAAATTTACCAGGTCCATCAAATCCCGCAAATTTTTCCAAACATTCATTTGCTTGTAGAATTCCAATATTCACATAAATGAATTTTTTATTATCCAATTCGATACTAGCGTTGAATGGATTACTTGCTTCGTATGGACTATCAAAACCAGGCACGAAGAAAAGAATTGTTAACATTATTTTTATAGTTGATTGCCTTAAAAATTAAAAAATTATTTTGGCGTTTTTTGGTTATCCTCCCTCGTTTTCTTTCCTCCCTTCCTTTCTCCAAAATAGCATTAATGGACGGACAGAAGTTACTCGAAACCCGGACTTTTTTCAACACGGGACCCTATCAGAACCCCAAAGACTTTCTCTCAAACTCCCATCCCATGTACCTTTGACAATTTGTAATATTCTGTTAGAAAAGTGTGTGAGGAGCGTGCTTTGCCAACAGCGCTTTGTCGTCTGTTTTAGCCTTACACGGAGAAAAGGAAGGAAAAATGAAAATTGGTAGAACAAAAGAAGATCTTTTTCTACTAAAAAACTAAAATTTAAAAGAAACCTTCAACAATTGCAGGCAAAACATAATTACAATAAATCTTTTGACCAAAACATTCACGCGCATCAAAACCTCCATTTTGTAATATTTCCCATTCGCCTGTTTTCACAACATTATAGCTAATTTGTTTAATTGCCTCGTTTAACCCCAATTTTGCAGACTTCCTAACTTTTTCAATAAAATTTAATTCTTCAGAATTGCCAGCCATAAATCGACACAATTTCCAAAGAATTAATTCACAATCTAATTTTGTGGCGGCAATTGAAAGACAATTCGGTTATTGAGCACTGTTCCATCATCAGACAAAACTTTTTTAAAAAAGAATAAATTAAAGGATTTAAAAATGAGGAGTGTCTTATACCTAGGGTTGCCAAATGGACCGACTCGGACCGAAAGATCGAGTCAGGCCTCGATGTTTGGCCCGAAAAAGACTCGTAACGCCCCGACTCGATAAAGTTAGGCCCGAAAGTGACTCGTACCGGCCCGACTCGATAAAAACAGGCCCGAAAAAAATGCCTCGACCCGGCTCGATCTCTACAAACTAGCACATCAAGAGAAACGACAGAATACCAACAAACGACTTTTAGATGGTTGTTATTTCGGCGTTTTGGCATTACTGCGGATAAAGAATGAGGTGACGAATTTGTTGACTTGCGGATTTTTCTTCTCCAAAAAAGGTTTCAAGTCCTCTAAAAAGCCCTAAAAAGGCTAAAAAAAGTCTGCAAGAAAAATCCTCAAAAACAACAACACCTTATCCTCCAATTTGCAGAAAATTATTTAAAAAAAGAAATACCCAATTTTGGCGTATACAATGCTAACAAAGCACGATGAACCCAAGCAAAAGGTTCAGGATCATATTTAGAGCAAAAACTTCCAATTCTCCATCTTTGAACAAAGGCATTTCGCGATAACACTTTAAAAAAATTTCTAGAAATTAAACTTTTTTAAACCCTTACTTCATTTATGTAACGCATTTCCAATTTAATAGCAAATATTTTTTGATCAATTCTCAATTCCAAAGGAGGGTCGAAATTATTTGTTGACAATTCAAACACTTCCCCCATCACCAAACGAAAAGGGCCACCATATTCCGCAACATATAAACGCGCTTGAATTAGAGCCTTCCAAGAAGATGTCGGTAAACGATTGAATGGCTTGACTTCCAAAACGAGACGTTCAATGTTCTTTTTGAAAAAATAAAAAAACATTTTAAGTCAGATTTCATTATAGGACACACACTTGGGGTTTAAAAAGGTGGGGTGTCTTAAATAGAGGGTAGCAATTAGACAGTTTCTCCTTCCTCTCTCAATAACCAACCCAAGACTTATACAGACGTTTATTTAATAGAGGATTAGGCCTTCTTCCTTCCTTAGGCAGCTTTCCCACTCAGTGACCAACCCAAAATTTAGAAAACGTCTATTAAATGGAGGTGCTCTTAGAGGAAACCCCACCTTAAAATTACTGAGTAAATCTTAGGAAGAGATCCCCCTGTATAACAAATACACAAATTACCTCATCATTATTGAATTTGCCATCATAACGCTCACTTCGTTTAACAACCAAATCAACATTTTTAAGCTTAAAGCGCAGATTTTCCTTTCCAGAACTACAACATTCATTAATTCCAGTAATTACTCCCTCTTCATTTATTTGCAAAATAATTCCAACAGTGCGCACACCATCCAAAGAATTCTCGATTCCAACACCAATTTTGGCGTCTTTGATCGAATCAATACTAATCAGATGCACACCTGGCCATTTTATAAGCGAACTTGGAGTTAACTCATCACAAGTATAATTACTGTTGTTTAGATCCTAAAATTAGAAAGAATTAAAAATTGAAAGAGCCTTGGCTTTCTTTATTAAAATTTTTTTCTAAAAGGATTTTCCTAAAGGAAGAGGATTTCCGTAGTTTTAAATTAAAGGACGGAACCGAGCTGAATTCGAAAAAAAGGAAAAGGCCAAAAAAACATGTGAGAGGACTTTTTCCCCAAATGGTAATTTTGGTGGCCTTATTTAAAACAGAATGCCAAAAAATAAAGAAAAATACTCGGGAAGGTTTTTAAAATATTCTTTGAAAAGAAAAATAAAAAATAAAACTTGCCCTAAACTGTTCGACAATACAGAAGACATTTACCAAAAATATAAAAAATACTTTAAGCAGAATTTAATAGTTGTGTAGGGGTAATTAAATAAATATATATTTCCATCAATAAAGGGATACGGACATATGCACAAGCTCATGAATTAATAGGATACATAAAAATACCATACAACATTTGTAATGGAATAAGGAATATAACAACGGATACAAATTAAGCTTATAGTAAGGAATATATACAACGGATACAAATTAAGCTTATAGTAATAAGTCAAATGGAATTAAATACACAAGAGCAAATATTGTTCACTTATTACGACGAACTTTCTCCATCAGAACTTTTCGTTCTTCACGTTTTCGCTCTACGAGTTGATCATATTCGTGGATAAAGGCGCTGACTTTTTTATTATTCTTTCCAAGTAATCCACAATTTATTGCTTCTTCAAGAACTGCTCGATGAATAAATAAATACTAAAAATAAATTTTATTTTTTGATTATTTCAAAAAGGAAATCACTTGCAGATCAGTTTGTACAGAAAACGCCCGCTGATCACGAAGCCATAAAAAAATTGTGGCAATCTGTACTTCTCGATTTAATTTAATTAATGTTTGAATAGCCAATTGAACTCCTGCGAAAGTTCCACTACGCCCTTTAAAATTTTATTTTAAACTGGTTAAACACAAACACAAAAAAAAACTGACCTACGCCAGCACTACAATGACAAAAAACTGTACATTTACGGCTCTCAGCAATATCTCGAACATAATTATTGAAGTGGCAAAATGAAGAAGCCGAATAAGGAACGTCATTTTCGGGCCAACCAAGATAAAGCAGGTGTATAACCTTTAAATTAAAAAAGGCTAGATTATCAATATTTTCTCAAATTTAGGGTTAACTCATCCCTCCCCTGATGAGAATCTAAGGAACCTCTTTAAAATATTGCCATACCGGTTTGCATAATACAAACCCTAAGAATTTCTATTACTCACTTCAATGAACTTTTTGTTTTTGTATACAGCTTCGACAACCGTTTTTCGAACATCCTTATTGTCGGGTAAATAAACTGTTTGTTCTTTAATTCTAATCGAAATTTTTTCTCCATACTTCGTAGTTCCAGATTTTAGATAATTACCACATTTTATTTCACCTCCCTCATTGTCCTTGCATAGTTGAACAACCACCTGAATTTAAAGATTTTTCTTATTAGGCAGACTTAAAATCAGAAAACTTACTCCACAATTTTGCTCAATAATCAGCGCCCAGAATTGATGAACTGATTTATTAATCGGCCCCTGACCACAAATGAGAGGGTAAATTCCACCCTTGATAAAGTTAGCGTGGTAATAGTCAACACCTAAAATTAGGGGATTTTTTGTTTAAACAAAGTTGGTCACCTTTAAATCCCATGTTGACTTTCACTCTGTTTTGATCGATCAAAGGAACGTCGATATAATGTTGAAGGTCATAGTGTTTGGCTTGTTTATATTCATCTGTTGTAGCACTTCTACATTCATAATGTGCCAACTCACGTACAAACTGTTCCCTGATATTTGGTATTCCTCCACGATTTCCAATAGCTTAAAATAAAAATTTTAAAGTAACAGTAATTTAAGAATTAAAGAGGATGTGACCATTCCCGCATTTTTTAAAGGGACAAAATTTCTCGAGGAAAAATTCAGGGATTTATTTTAGGCTGGTCACTTAAAACTTTACTAAGCCTAACTTACATTCAAACCATCCTTTGACTGCTTTATTTGGAGGTTCATTTTTCTGTTCTTCGTTTTGGATAATTTGCATTGGCACATAATATTTCCTTTCCAAGGCAATTTTTTTTTGAAGATCATCACCCGCATTCTAAAAATTAAAAAAAGACTGTTTTATTTCACTTTTCAAACTGGCCTTTTTCTTCCCGCATTCCTTTTCCTCTTGGTGTTTACGGTCTTTCATCGTCCGAGTTACAAATTGCCAAGAAAGTACACGAGAACCAACAAATTTGCCAAAAACACTTGAAGGCAACCAGGTTTTAAACGAACAGAAGAGTTGAGCAACGAAGAATACGCCAAAAAAATTGCCAAATACTTGCAAAACAAACACGCAAAGCAGCTCAATTGAATAATAAAAGTGAAGAAGTTTGCTAACAGGAATGTTTATTAGGGAAAAATTATTTGTTTTTATACTAAGTTTTAGTATGCTTTTACGAACATTAAATATTTATTTTTAACAATTTTTCCTGATACATAATAGCAACACAAAAGACAAAATTATCTCTTTACTCAATTAATAGTCAAACAAAATTTAAAAAATACCCTAAATTTGAGGTGCATCTTTAGGGGTAGAGCTTTCCAAGACCGAAGATTTTCACTCATCTTTAGGAGTGTATATTTCAAAAGCTCAATAAAATCGAGACCAAGAACCCTAAGACCAAGAAAAAGAACCTCCAACATAAGACTCAAGATCAAGAGTCATGGACGGTTCTAATTAGAGTAGAGTCCCATATGATAATATTTGGTAAGGAAATAAATTTTTTCAAGTCTTAGAAGAGACATTAGAGTCCCATATGATAATATTTGGTAAGGAAATAAATTTTTTCAAGTCTTAGAAGAGACATTAGAGTCCCATATGATAATATTTGGTAAGGAAATAAATTTTTTCAAGTCTTAGAAGAGACATTAGAGTCCCATATGATAATATTTGGTAAGGAAAAAAATTTTTTCAAGTCTTAGAAGAGACATTAGAGTCCCATATGATAATATTTGGTAAGGAAATAAATTTTTTCAAGTCTTAGAAGAGACATTAGAGTCCCATATGATAATATTTGGTAAGGAAAAAAATTTTTTCAGGTCTTAGAAGAGACATTAGAGTCCCATATGATAATATTTGGTAAGGAAATAAATTTTTTCAAGTCTTAGAAGAGACACTAGAGTCCCATATGATAATATTTGGTAAGGAAAAAAATTTTTTCAGGTCTTAGAAGAGACATTAGAGTCCCATATGATAATATTTGGTAAGGAAATAAATTTTTTCAAGTCTTAGAAGAGACATTAGAGTCCCATATGATAATATTTGGTAAGGAAATAAATTTTTTCAAGTCTTAGAAGAGACATTAGAGTCCCATATGATAATATTTGGTAAGGAAAAAAATTTTTTCAGGTCTTAGAAGAGACATTAGAGTCCCATATGATAATATTTGGTAAGGAAATAAATTTTTTCAAGTCTTAGAAGAGACATTAGAGTCCCATATGATAATATTTGGTAAGGAAATAAATTTTTTCAAGTCTTAGAAGAGACATTAGAGTCCCATATGATAATATTTGGTAAGGAAATAAATTTTTTCAAGTCTTAGAAGAGACATTAGAGTCCCATATGATAATATTTGGTAAGGAAAAAAAATTTTTCAGGTCTTAGAAGAGACATTAGAGTCCCATATGATAATATTTGGTAAGGAAATAAATTTTTTCAAGTCTTAGAAGAGACATTAGAGTCCCATATGATAATATTTGGTAAGGAAATAAATTTTTTCAAGTCTTAGAAGAGACATTAGAGTCCCATATGATAATATTTGGTAAGGAAATAAATTTTTTCAGGTCTTAGAAGAGACATTAGAGTCCCATATGATAATATTTGGTAAGGAAATAAATTTTTTCAAGTCTTAGAAGAGACATTAGAGTCCCATATGATAATATTTGGTAAGGAAATAAATTTTTTCAAGTCTTAGAAGAGACATTAGAGTCCCATATGATAATATTTGGTAAGGAAATAAATTTTTTCAGGTCTTAGAAGAGACATTAGAGTCCCATATGATAATATTTGGTAAGGAAATAAATTTTTTCAGGTCTTAGAAGAGACATTAGAGTCCCATATGATAATATTTGGTAAGGAAATAAATTTTTTCAAGTCTTAGAAGAGACATTAGAGTCCCATATGATAATATTTGGTAAGGAAATAAATTTTTTCAAGTCTTAGAAGAGACATTAGAGTCCCATATGATAATATTTGGTAAGGAAAAAAATTTTTTCAGGTCTTAGAAGAGACATTAGAGTCCCATATGATAATATTTGGTAAGGAAATAAATTTTTTCAAGTCTTAGAAGAGACACTAGAGTCCCATATGATAATATTTGGTAAGGAAATAAATTTTTTCAGGTCTTAGAAGAGACATTAGAGTCCCATATGATAATATTTGGTAAGGAAATAAATTTTTTCAAGTCTTAGAAGAGACATTAGAGTCCCATATGATAATATTTGGTAAGGAAATAAATTTTTTCAAGTCTTAGAAGAGACATTAGAGTCCCATATGATAATATTTGGTAAGGAAATAAATTTTTTCAAGTCTTAGAAGAGACATTAGAGTCCCATATGGTAATATTTGATAAGGAAATAAATTTTTTCAGGTCTTAGAAGAGACACTAGAGTCCCATATGATAATATTTGGTAAGGAAATAAATTTTTTCAGGTCTTAGAAGAGACATTAGAGTCCCATATGATAATATTTGGTAAGGAAATAAATTTTTTCAAGTCTTAGAAGAGACATTAGAGTCCCATATGATAATATTTGGTAAGGAAATAAATTTTTTCAAGTCTTAGAAGAGACATTAGAGTCCCATATGATAATATTTGGTAAGGAAATAAATTTTTTCAAGTCTTAGAAGAGACATTAGAGTCCCATATGGTAATATTTGATAAGGAAATAAATTTTTTCAGGTCTTAGAAGAGACATTAGAGTCCCATATGATAATATTTGGTAAGGAAATAAATTTTTTCAGGTCTTAGAAGAGACATTAGAGTCCCATATGATAATATTTGGTAAGGAAATAAATTTTTTCAGGTCTTAGAAGAGACATTAGAGTCCCATATGATAATATTTGGTAAGGAAATAAATTTTTTCAGGTCTTAGAAGAGACATTAGAGTCCCATATGATAATATTTGGTAAGGAAATAAATTTTTTCAAGTCTTAGAAGAGACATTAGAGTCCCATATGATAATATTTGGTAAGGAAATAAATTTTTTCAAGTCTTAGAAGAGACATTAGAGTCCCATATGATAATATTTGGTAAGGAAATAAATTTTTTCAGGTCTTAGAAGAGACATTAGAGTCCCATATGATAATATTTGGTAAGGAAATAAATTTTTTCAAGTCTTAGAAGAGACATTAGAGTCCCATATGATAATATTTGGTAAGGAAATAAATTTTTTCAAGTCTTAGAAGAGACATTAGAGTCCCATATGGTAATATTTGATAAGGAAATAAATTTTTTCAGGTCTTAGAAGAGACATTAGAGTCCCATATGATAATATTTGGTAAGGAAATAAATTTTTTCAAGTCTTAGAAGAGACATTAGAGTCCCATATGGTAATATTTGATAAGGAAATAAATTTTTTCAGGTCTTAGAAGAGACATTAGAGTCCCATATGATAATATTTGGTAAGGAAATAAATTTTTTCAGGTCTTAGAAGAGACATTAGAGTCCCATATGATAATATTTGGTAAGGAAATAAATTTTTTCAAGTCTTAGAAGAGACATTAGAGTCCCATATGATAATATTTGGTAAGGAAATAAATTTTTTCAGGTCTTAGAAGAGACATTAGAGTCCCATATGATAATATTTGGTAAGGAAATAAATTTTTTCAAGTCTTAGAAGAGACATTAGAGTCCCATATGATAATATTTGGTAAGGAAATAAATTTTTTCAAGTCTTAGAAGAGACATTAGAGTCCCATATGATAATATTTGGTAAGGAAATAAATTTTTTCAAGTCTTAGAAGAGACATTAGAGTCCCATATGATAATATTTGGTAAGGAAATAAATTTTTTCAAGTCTTAGAAGAGACATTAGAGTCCCATATGATAATATTTGGTAAGGAAATAAATTTTTTCAAGTCTTAGAAGAGACATTAGAGTCCCATATGGTAATATTTGATAAGGAAATAAATTTTTTCAGGTCTTAGAAGAGACATTAGAGTCCCATATGATAATATTTGGTAAGGAAATAAATTTTTTCAGGTCTTAGAAGAGACATTAGAGTCCCATATGATAATATTTGGTAAGGAAATAAATTTTTTCAGGTCTTAGAAGAGACATTAGAGTCCCATATGATAATATTTGGTAAGGAAATAAATTTTTTCAGGTCTTAGAAGAGACATTAGAGTCCCATATGATAATATTTGGTAAGGAAATAAATTTTTTCAAGTCTTAGAAGAGACATTAGAGTCCCATATGATAATATTTGGTAAGGAAATAAATTTTTTCAAGTCTTAGAAGAGACATTAGAGTCCCATATGATAATATTTGGTAAGGAAATAAATTTTTTCAGGTCTTAGAAGAGACATTAGAGTCCCATATGATAATATTTGGTAAGGAAATAAATTTTTTCAAGTCTTAGAAGAGACATTAGAGTCCCATATGATAATATTTGGTAAGGAAATAAATTTTTTCAAGTCTTAGAAGAGACATTAGAGTCCCATATGGTAATATTTGATAAGGAAATAAATTTTTTCAGGTCTTAGAAGA